GCCCTGGGGGTGCCAGATTAGACGCACAAGAAAGAACTCAAGTTCGGACAGAGACAAGGAGATCTAATAAAAATGTTTTATTAAATAAAACAAATAGCTGAAGGGAAGCAAATAAACTAAAACACTAGGAGACACAGAGGAACACAAGGACATGAGAAAGATGGTGAAAGGTGAAATCTCACTATCTGAGATTCAGTTTGTGAATTAAATCAAATGAACATGTTTTGTATTATTAGGTCGATCTACTTTGAGAACCCATCAAACACTGTTCAGTGTTAATTTAAAATGTCTAAAAGAGACTTCAGATTGTTTTTAGATCTTTATTAATAAACATTTTCATTAGGTGCCTAAAGCATTACAGTGTGACATTAGTTTCTTTATCACATCTGATGTAGTACCTGTTACTACACACCTTGTAGTAACASGTGTAGTGACTTGCTAAGCACTAGGCAGTATTGAGTATTGTTACCTATTAGCTCAGACACAATTTCACCTTTCTTGTATTTTTTTCTACTCAACGTGAAGTTAAAAGCTATAAATTCTATGTTTTATTCTCTTGTTGCTTTATACAAATGTTGTGTAACCATTATTGTTGGTTTGTGATKTTGTGTTTTTTAGGGCACAGTGCTGTGTGATATCATACTGCTTAACTTCCTGAAAGGTGCTGAGCAGTACAAAGCAAAGAAGTTTGAGGAGGTAAAATACCAAGTTTTTAACATAGTCAGTGTGAATTGTCTGACATTAGAAGTGAATTGCAGTTTTAAATAGGACACAAGCTGTGTTTTATTTGTTATAACGTGGGCTAACGGTCTAATTATTTTCTGTATTTYTAGTATGTCTGCCTCTATATTATTTTTAGGTTTTGCTGATGTAGTGGAGCTAGATTTGTAAAGTAGTTTGCAGTACCCACCAATATCATGTAATCAGATTACTGTTAAAGCTACTGGTGGATGACACATAATTTACACCATATAACAGCCCTTTTTAATGTTCTACTACAAATTCTAATGGCGGTGAAGTCAGTGTAAAAATATGATGCCAAATACGCGAGAGCGCGAGCAAAACAGTGATGGATGATCACTGCACAATAAACCTAAACMTGAGCTCAAAAGCTCAAAACTAAATAAAAGACATGTTGTTTGTTTGTTTGTTTTTCAACAGATGGTCAGTTTGTTCTGATTTACTGTCCAGTGCTGACCTGAGATAGTTTACACTTTAACTCTTATCAAAATGAAAATATCAGGTGAACCTTTAAAAATCCTGGTGCCTTGTTTCCAGCTGCTCTCCAGTTAAACTAGGTTCTGTTGTCACCTAAAACCTATTCTAGACCAAGATTAGTAACAAACAGCATACATTGTGAATAAGAGGAACTCTTGAAGACAATTTTATGATGGCTTCACATTTTTAAGGTTAAATCAAAGAATATCTAAGATGTGCCCTTAAAGAATTCATCAACCCTTTAACCCTCCTGTTGTCTTCGGGTCAAAATGACCCGCCACTGTGTTAAAACCCCCCAAACAATCCCCTAAATGGTATTTTTTTAACTTGAGATTTTAAGACTTTTCCTAGATTGGCCAAAACAATAGAAAAAGTTAAATGCTGCTTTTATTCACATTTCCATGTAAGCTGTACAAAAAAAAGTACAAAGATGGTCTTCGGGTCAAAATGACCCGTGAGGCAAATAGAGTTGAAATCAAGGTCACAGAGTTATTTACAAACCACATAATGTTACAAAGTTTTAGATGTGTCTCAGATCAATCAGTAGC